GGAGTCTGTGGGACTCTGCCCTGAGAGCTGTGTGCTGCCATCTAGGCACCCGCTCCACTCCTCACCCCTGAGAAAGGTCATGCTTGTTTGAGTCGCAAAACCCAATCACCTTTATTTTACACGCAGTGCAATCTCGTATATGCAGAAAAGTACTCTATATTACACTCATGATTAATACCCTCTTATTTCCACTTGGCATGTCATTGAAAACTTGGCACATCATTTAGCTAAAACTCATGACAAAGACCCCTAGAAAAACTGGAGTAAAGGTTTTCTCCAAATAGATGCTCTCTTCATTAGTTCAAATTGACATCTGCTGACAGGGCAATCAATGGCAAACCTGACAGTGATATTCATTAACAAGGAAGACTAAACTTATGCTTTCAAGTGTAAAGATTAACTTTGAATGGTAGAGAACCTAATTAGACTGTTATTAGCCACCAAGAACTCAGAGAGCAAAGAATTCAAATTGTGCTGTACGTAGAATAAAAACAACAAAAAAAGTTGTTTAAGAGATTATAGATGATTCAAAAATTTTAATTTCTTTTAATCTTAAATTTAAAAAATGATAAAAGCTATTTTAAAGTATACAGATGTATTTACAATTTCAAATCATTTTACTAAGTTCACGTTAGTCTCTTGACTCCCATGAATGTTTTACTGGTATGCAGGAAATCTCAGCTCTTACACGTAAGTTATCAGCTGCCTCACGAACAGCCAGATGCATTAAGTACTTTCATGCCTACTGCAGTGACAGGATTCTTATAATTTTCAAATCAACAAATGGCATTTCTTAAAATACAAATTCTATTGGAGTCTTGTGAAGACACTAACCCACTCGGTAAATATCTGCAAGTCACATTCCATTGCAAGGCAGCCTTGATTCTGATTTCCCGATTCATGATTGAAGTCTGCCCCACTGGCACATGGAACCCCCCCAGTTTTGGTTGGATTCACGTGGTCACCATAAGCACACTATAGCAGTGGAACAAGCAGGGACGTAACTAGAAACTGGGACCCAAGTTTTGCACCTGAATTCTCTAGGACTGTCCCCTCGCATGCATAAATAGGGAGACTTGGAAGACATCACTCTGAGGCCCCCTTCCCTGCTTCTAACATCCTGACTTTAAGCCTTAAACTTACACAGGAGTGAAAAGAAAATAAAAGGTTTCTTCAAAAGCTGCTGTTCCCTTCTTAGATCATTACACAGGCTCTAACCTGTAGCAGCTGAGAATGAAGACCAAATTTTATCTAAGAGGAAGCCTGCTGCAAAGAGATCTGCACAAATGTTTGGTGGCTTAAAACAGACTATCTTTTGAAATGTCTGGCATTGCAGATACTTAAAATTTCTCTTATTAAGTAAAGACTAGTTTTTTGTAAGTTCTTCACTTTTTCTTTTCTTTGAGACAGGGGCTCACTCTGTTGCCCAGGCTGGATCATAGCTCACTTCAGCCTCGAACTCCTCACTTATTTGACAAGATTTCTAGGAAGGTCATTCCAATTCCAAACCAACTATTTCTGAGCAGTTTATATAAACTAAATCTTGCAGTTGTTTATTAAGGAACAGGCTATTGTATTGGTGTACTAGGACTACTTTAACAAAATACCACAGATTGGGTGGCTTAAACAAGACATTTATTTTCTTCCACAGTTCTGGAGCTTGGAGGGCCAAAATCAAGGTGTCAGGCTGAGTGTGGTGGCTCACGCCTGTAATCCCAGCACCTTGGGAGGCTGACATGGGAAGATCGCTTGAGGCCAGGAGCTTGAGAGCAGCCTGGGCAACACAGTGTGATCCTGTCTCTACAAGAAATAAAAATATTAGGCGGGCACGGTGGCGTGTGCCTGTAGCCCCAGCTACTTGGGAGGCCGAGGCAGGAGGATCACTTGGGCCCAGGAATTGGAGGTTGCTGTGAGCTATGATGATGCCACTTCACTCTAGCCTGATGACAGAGCTTTCAACATCTCAACACGCCCAACTCCAAATCAAAAATAAACAAAATCAAGGTGTCAACAGGGTTGGTTTCTTCTGGAGATTCCTCTCCTTGGCTTGCAGATGGCTGTTTTCTGTCTTCATATGGTCTCCTCACTGTGCATACGTGTGTCCTAAACTCCTATTTTTTTTTAGAACACAAGTCGTATTGGTTTAGGGCCCATGCTAACAGCTTCATTTTAATTTAATTACCTCTTCAAAGTTTCTATCTCCAAATACAATCACATTCTAAAGTACTGAGATTAGGACTTCGGCATATGAATTTTGGGGGACATGATTCAGCCACTAACAGCTATAGAATTTTTCTTTTTCACATATTGTTACTTTGATATAAATACTTATATTAGGTTTAACATAAGTATTGAGAATTTAAAAACCAAAGGCTTATATCATATGCATGTAAAAACAACTGATGTATAAAAAGAATCTGTTGTCTGACTAGGCATTATACCTGCTGCATCTTAGGATTTACTGAAAAGTTTTCAGAGAACTTTGCCCCAGGACAACAGCTTCAAGTGGAAAAGGTGATAGTCAAGCCCCGATATGCAGGGCAGTTACATTTAGAAACAAAAGCCAAGATTCATTCTATCACTCAACGATCTTTTTTTTTCCGCTGACTCACCAAAAGATGGGTGAAATTATTTCCCCCCAAAACACTCTCAAAGGTGTGGTCCCCGGACCACCAGCATCTGAGTCACCTGTGATATCTGTTATGAATGGAAGTCTCTGCATCCCACCCCAGACTCAGTGAATTTAGCTCCGGGCCTGGGTACCTGCATTTGAACAAGCATCCACCTACCTGCCCACCGGAGTCTGTGGGACTCTGCCCTGAGAGCTGTGTGCTGCCATCTAGGCACCCGCTCCACTCCTCACCCCTGAGAAAGGTCATGCTTGTTTGAGTCGCAAAACCCAATCACCTTTATTTTACACGCAGTGCAATCTCGTATATGCAGAAAAGTACTCTATATTACACTCATGATTAATACCCTCTTATTTCCACTTGGCATGTCATTGAAAACTTGGCACATCATTTAGCTAAAACTCATGACAAAGACCCCTAGAAAAACTGGAGTAAAGGTTTTCTCCAAATAGATGCTCTCTTCATTAGTTCAAATTGACATCTGCTGACAGGGCAATCAATGGCAAACCTGACAGTGATATTCATTAACAAGGAAGACTAAACTTATGCTTTCAAGTGTAAAGATTAACTTTGAATGGTAGAGAACCTAATTAGACTGTTATTAGCCACCAAGAACTCAGAGAGCAAAGAATTCAAGAGGAAAGCAAAAGCGCCACGGAAATCACACTCTTTTCCACAAAACTCAGTCCCACAACCTGTATGGCAGGGGTCCAAGATGCTGGAGAGGCAGCAGAGCTGCCTGGAGGGCCCGTGCATGAGGGGAAACGCACTGGCTGTGCCTCTCCCTGCTGTGCCCTTCCACCAGGTCCGCTCTTCACTGGCTGCACTTTAGTTTGGTCTTCTGGTCCCACCGCAGCTACTTGAAAGACTTCAGGTTGTAATCTTTACATTTCCAAGAATCCATTTTGGCTGAACATCCCATCCAGATGTTCTCATGGTACAAAGGTCATTCTGTAGGTTGCATGTATATATTGGCTCCTATGGGAGACAAAGCTTCCTTCCTCTTTAGCAAGAGAATACTGCTTCCGGCAACGCTGCTTTGGCTAGCTCCTTTTCCTGTGTGCCCACATGTGTGCAGCAATTGACCCAGCTATTTCTGCATTCTTCTTGTTCTGGCCAAAATAATCTAGAAACTCACCATCTGGTCCAATCAAGTACATTATTATTGTATGATCCACCTGCAGAGAAGGGGGGGGGTGTAACAAAAAGATTATTATCAAAATAAACTGCTTATTTTACTGAATAAATGCTACAGGATAAGAGAACTTTACATTAATGCTTAAATAACCTTTGTAGCATCTATCACTTACGGAATGGGCCAAAGCTTATCACAGCACATTTACAGTGAAGGATTGTCTAGAATCTTTTGTGTTCCAAAAATTTGCACTGGCTATTACTTATAACATCAGCTAGAACATGGAATTCTTTTGGTTCAATCCTTCATACACTCATCCACACACACTTTCTGAGAAAAAGAATCCACGTTTTAAGACACGGCTGCTGCAGGCCTTCACAAAACCGTCAGTGCTTGTGGAACGGCAACGCTTATTTGGAAATACTTTCACTTTGAGTAAATGTCTCATCTGACCCCTAAACCATAGTACAAAGAGATGTCACGTGGAATTAAAAGTGTTGATAAAAATTACTTTCTTTAGTAAGTTGTCAGGTGTATTCCTTTATGTTTTAGGAGGAACTGGCTGTCATTCATTACTGCCTAAATTCTGCTTACCATGTTTTATGAGAGGAAACCAGAAAACTAACCACTGGTTTAATTAAATGATCTATAAATTCTAACACAATATTTAGTCCTGATATTAGTAATTTAAACAGAAACCGGAAAGGACACGCTTTTCTCCCCTAGGAAATTTTTATATATACTGCACTGAGCAATCCTATCTGAAGCAAAGCCTAGAAAGCAAATCCTCAGGGACCATAGTTGTTGTACCCCTAAGAAGTCATCTTAAATGCATCATCCATTTTCCTGGCAAAGTTCTTAACTTAAATTTAGATTAGTCATCATTTTTTTTAGTTAGATGCTTCCACAAAATCCAATTTTAAATAAGCAGATTTGTCACTTAAGAGTCCTTGGAATTTATTGCAGGCTTGATTGCTACTTGGCGAGACAAAAAGAAAGACAGGAATGTGATCACACATACCAAACCAGAGTTACTTCCCCAAATATACCCCAGCACACATTATATGTCTGTGAGGTTATTATTTTTTTATATACACACATTCATGAGAAGCTAGCAAATGGAAAGTGCCACTTGCCTACCCACATAAAGAAAGAATGTACACCAAGAGCTCAAACAGCTGGTGATTTCATGTGTTGTGAAATAATTTACTACAGGAGCAAGACAGGGGATCTATTCTCTCCATCCATCTGATACAGAAATCAGAATTAGGTCTCCAGTTCTCTCTTTAAGCCTTACATTACAGCTTACACTGCTCTTTCTCCCTATTTCTTCCTTTTCTCAATTCTTTCTTTTCTGTTCTCTCTCCTTAAAAAACAGAATTACAGCATGTGGGACTATTTTCTGAGTGTTCTTAATATAAATTACTTCCTAGTACACAATAAAAATATTGTTTTCTCTCTGTCAAACTTATTGGTGGTCACTTCTCAATACTCATTTGGGTTGTGAGCCAAGCAAATTTACATTTATTCTAATACAGAGATCTTCCAAGTATAGAGAAAGAGAAACTAGCATTTATTGACAAGTTTTTTCATGTGTCGTCTTAGCCATGAGACAGGTATCCTCCTCTACAAATGACACAACAAGCTGGAAAGGGTAAGTTATATAATTAGTAAGTGCCAGATCTAACCTTAAAATCTGGGATCTGTCCAATTTCAAAGTGTTACCACCATGTTGCCACTATCTCTAATTCTACTGGAGGGCAGCAACTGTTTTATAATGTGCAAGTTTTTTTTTGTATAATTTTTTATTTTTTGAGAAGGTAATATATGCACATTAAAAAAAAAAAAAAGAATATCCAGTAAACATATACAAGGAAGCCTTCCTCCCATTCTGGACTCCCAGATTCCCTCAGTTCTTCTCCTTGGAGGGGACCACTGCCAACAGTTCCCTTCTCTATTCTTCCAGAGAACTTCTCTGCATTCCCTACTGTGTATATATATCCATCACCACCTATTTCTTTTCATACACAAGTAATAATATACAGTACTTGTTTTCTCATTTAACAATATACTGAACATTTTTATATATTAGTACATACATAATAGTGTTTTAAAAAAACGGTTGGTTTTCAGTCTTTTCTCTTTACAAATAATGCTGCAAATTCCAAAAAGTAGAATCTTTGACCTAAAAAGTATTTTACTTTAAATGTTGAGAGAAATTGCCAAGTTGCCCTCTAAAGAGTGTGTATGTATCAGTTTAATTCCTATCAACAATGCACGAAGCTCCTGTTCTCAATTCACTCAACAGTATATTTCCCATTTTTCCAATTTTGACAATATATTTTCAAACTTTCTGACTACTGCTGAATTGGTGAAAAATGGCATCTTGTTATACAATTCACATTTCTTTTATTATGAAACTGAACATCTTAGGTTTGAAAGCCATTTGTATTCTTTTTTCAAAAGCATTTTCTATTATAATACTTATATAATAATGCAATATTATATATAAGGCAATAATGTGCAAATATAGTTTTCTATGGGATCCCAAATGTTTGGCATGTCCAGTTTACACACATTATCAGTCTGAAGATTCCATTCAAAAGGCAGAAGCTTACCTTTTGTTACTGCTGTTTGAGATTCAGAAAACCTCAATCCATTACATCTCAAGGGTAACCTTTAAGGCAGTCCCTCACTCCTTGAAGGTCCTTAAATCTTAACAGAAGTTTCCCAAACCATCTTGTGGATGAAAATCTGTGACCTCAAGGGACAGAAGTCATACTAATGAAAAACCTAAGAAGCTGGAGAGCGTCTCCCCCTACTGGTTGATTTAGCAAATGTACAGCAATGAATTCCTCACTGATTCTCACCATAAGGTCAAATTCTTATGGTAGGAGACCAGTATTTCTCAAAATGGGGCCTAGCATGTATTCTAGATGGTCCAAAAAGTCTCCATAATAATTACATATTTGCATTTTAATTTGTAAGATTAAAAAAATTAATATCCGTATTCTGGATTATCTGCATTATGAGTACAAATTTCAGTGCCCAGCCTATGTTTGGTTTGTTTGATATCACTAGCTGTACACTGCTGGTTATAGGCAGATAACATGAACATGACACATTCTTGCCAAGTCAACACCAACCCGTCAAGGCAGGCTACACAAAGGTTTCAAAGTATTTTCAACAGAAAAACACTGAGGGGCAGTTAAATATAGCTGTGCATCTGATAGCAGTCTGACCCAAATCCCATTCTTGTGGTGAGCATCACTTTGGTTTCAGCAAAATATCCTGTCACTTTAACTGAATGTCTTAAATTTAAGTTTTATAGGCTGTTATTATTTTCTTTTTGTATTTTTTTACCATATATGAACTGAAGAGACCGTTTGGTTTTATTTACAAAATTTCTTTTTAATTTCACAGCTATGGGCTCTAAGCAAAGGACTAGGGAGGGTTACCTAGTTTAGCACTATATTACGTTTAAATGATTTAATAAAACTCATTTAATGGTGGAAGTCAGACTGATTAGCTCATCGCCAGTTAAACTCAAAACCAGTTAATACAACTCTCTATAGAAGAAGGAAAGAAGTCTGAAAAGTTCTTTTCCCATGGCTTCCTCTCTTGGCCACCATGACCCTCTGCTCTTCCCTCATCTTTCCCATGCTGCTTGTGTAGCAAGAAACCACAGGAGAGTCCCTCTAATTTCTTTAGAGTTAGGGCTTAAGTAAAAACGCTCATTTTTCTCTTGTCGTTTTTCCCAAGGAATCCAAGTTTCCCTAATTCTATGAGGCAGCAGACCTGGAAGATAAGATTGCTGCGTGGGCTTAACTGAGGCAAAGGGGCCAGAAGCCTGCTTTTAGTTTAGGCCATAGGCTACAGGGGCACACAGTATGTCCCAGGTTCAAAGGTGACAGAGAAACCATGGTGGGCTGTAGAGACAAAGCACCACAGTGAGAGGTTCCCCTCCGCACATCACACCTTGGACAGGCCACAGGGAGCTGGCAGATCAGTGATTCAGGGTCCCATACATTTTTCTTTCCACATAACCAGTTTTGCAGCTGGAAAGACTCTTATGATAATTACTTTGCCCAAACAATATTAGAGAAAAACGAGGGAAAAGAACTAAGATCACACTAAGATATAATGTCAACTCTTAATCTGATAGGAGAAAAATGTCTACATTGAGAAGAAACTGGGTGGACAGGGGTGGTCCTTATGCCCTTTGTTGGTGCTTCACTGTGAAACCACTGATAAGAAAAGAAACACAGTAACTTGGGCATTAGCCTAAGACTCCTGGGGCAGTGCTGATGAACGTGAAGATAGCTCTTTAATGTAAGAGCTACAGAAGTACAACTTAATAGAATGCCTATTCCTTATCATTGAAAAGAATGTATTAAAAACCTAACTGTGCAAGGCACATAATTGATATGCAAATAAATCTTTCAAAAGTTTATCTTTGAATAGTTTTTGTCTTTTCTCTTGCTTTTCAAAATTCTCATTCAACTGAAAAGTACAGTTCCCCATGGCCTAAAACTGCGTCTCAAAAGGAGCAATTTCCTATACCTCCTCACTGGGGACACAGAGAACCAATACAATGTTTTTTTTAAACTAAAATAAGCCTTGCCCCAAAATGATGGCTCCTCTTTATTTCCAACATGGTACCCAAGTATCTGATTTTATACTGCCCCATAATTTTATGTGTCACTAGAAGAGAAAAACAGGCAATTAAATTATGAAAATAGTGAATTTAAATTTAAAAAATACGCTTCTATTATCCTTTCAAATATCCAAAATTCCTCAGGAATTTGCAACAATCTTAAGTTTTCTTTCATCTTGGAAGCCAGTCATTTAAAGCTATATGAAGATTTGGGATCTGGGAGCTGGGCACATGGGTTAAAACCTGAACATTTACTTACTATGTAGTCCTCATCTTCATCCTTGGGACCAGGGCTATAATATACTCTGTATGCTCGGGCCACTTGATCGATTTCTTCTTTTGTGCCAGTCAAGCCAATCAGTTTGGGAGAAAATTCTAAATAAAAAATGAGAAAAACAGTGAAAAATAAGAAGCCAGTAAAACAACCATCTCAACTTCGAAAAACAGTATCAGTTGTAAAGCAGTCCTATTACCACTTTCTTCCTGTGAGTCCCCAAACATTTCTTTATGATTTAAAGGAAAATAATTCACACAGAACAAATGACAATTCTCTTTTATAACATTTAAGTCAAATCCTTTTATGATTATTAGTAAAAATCTGGAAGGAATACTTTCTAATTATTTAAAATCATAGTTCTCAATGTAGTTCTGAGATACACTAAAGAACCTCCATTCTGTTCTCCATTGTCTGCGCTAATCTACATTCCTACCAACCGTGTATGAGGAAGGAATAAGTAGATCAGTGAGATCCATGCTGTATTTGTCTTTCTCTGCCTGGCTTATTTCACTTAGCATAATGTCCTCCAGATAGAACCATAACTTATAACTTGAGGACTGTAGGGTGGCTATCATCCACCCTATTTTTGGAGAAGTAGAGAAATTAAAGGTTCAAACAGAGAAAGAGAAACTAATGAAGCAGATGCACAAGGCAGTATAAGCAACAGATAGGATTTGTCAAATTCCTGTGAATACTTACAATAAATTCCCTCATTTTACCTAAGCTGCTTTGAAATGATTTCTATTCCTTGCAGCTGAACAGTTTTAACTCATACACTGCAATATCGTGTTAAATACAAATTTCCAAGGCTCCTTTAGCCTTAGGACACAGCCCCAAATTCTGAAACCAGACCCAAAGCCCTGACTAACTTTCTAGACTCCTTTTGGCTTCTCAGCCCTCATTGTGGTTTTGATTTACATTTCTCTGACAAGAGATTTTGAGCATTTTTTCATATATCCGTTGGTTACTTTTATGTCTTCTTTTGAGAAATGTGTATTCAGATCATTTGCTCATTTTTAATTGGATTATTTGTGTTTTTGCTGTTGAGATGTTTGAGTTCCTTATATATTCTGATATTAATCCCTAGTCACATGAATAGTTTGCAAATATTTTCTCCCATTCTGCAGGTTGTCTCTTCATTCTGTTGTTTCTTTTACTGTGCAGAAGCTTTTTAGTTTTATATAAAACCATCTGTCTATTTTTGCCTCTGTTATCTGTGCTTTTAAGGCCTTATCCACAAAATCTTCTCTGACCAATGTCCTGAAGCATTTCCCCTATGTTTTCTTCTAATAGTCTTACAGTTTCGGGTCTTAGTCTTCAGTGCATTTTAAACTGACTTTTGTATATGGTGACAGATAAGGGTCTAGTTTCATTCTGCATGTGGATATCCAGTTTTCCCAGTACCATTTATTGAAGAGGCTATTCTTTCCCCAGCAAATGTCCTTTGTGCCTCTGTGGAAAATCAGTGGACTGTAAATAGGTCCAGCGACAGACATTTGGGTTTTTCCCACTTATTTACTGGCTGTCACAGATAAAGTTGCTAAGAGCATCCATGTACAAGTTTTTGTGTGGACACATGCTTTCATTTCTTTTGAGTAAGCACCTAGGATTGGAATGGCTAGATCATATAGTAGGTGTATGTTTAACTTTTTAAGTACTGACAAAATGTTTCCCAAAGTGGATGTACGTTTTTTGTGTTCCCACAAGCAGAATATTAGAGTTCCAGCTCCTCCCATCCCCACCATACTTGGTACGGTCAGTCTTTTTAATTTTGGCCACTCTAGTAGGTATTTAGTAATACCTCATTATAGTTTTAATGTGGATTTTCCTAATGACTATTAATGTTAAGCATCTTTTCATGCTCTTATTTGCCATCTGTATGGCTTTAATGAAGTGTCTGTTCACATCTTCTGCCCATTTTTATGGGGTTCTTTCTTTTCGCATATATATGTATATAGATTAATACATTATTTATATTCTAGATACAAGTTAGGTACATGATTTGCAAACATTTTCTGCCAGTCCACGGCTTGTCATTTCAGTCTCTTAACAGTGTCTTTCAAAGAGCAGCTTTCAATTTTGATGAAGTCCAAATTTGTCAATTTTGTCTTTTATATATAGTTCTTCTGGTTTGACATGTAAGAAATCTTTGCCTAACCAAAGGTTATAAGGGTTTATATTTTATTCTTCAAGTTCAGAGTTTTTTATTATATATATTTAAACAGAATTTATGTCCACAGTTTGCAGGTTTGTCAGAAATTTGGGGAAAAGCATACTCATTTACTAATGAACTCAGTGGATTATACACAATCTTCAATTTAAACGTGTTATTATGGCAATTATTTTTATCACATATTAACCAAACCATAATATTTCCATATGAGTAGACATCTGAATCATTGTACCTAACTGAAATATCAAAGCCTCATGTTAATATTCTTCAACAGTACTTACATATAGTGATTGATGATGTAATCATTACTAGTTGCATTTTGGGGGGATTTTTAAAAAATTTAAGTTGGTATTTAGAAAAATACTGCAATTTCAGCAATTCAGTTAAAAAAAAAAGTCTGGATGTGCAGCTATGTCAAGTTTCATTCACCTTTCTCTTCATTTACTCACAGAGTAGAAAAGAAAGACAAGCCATCCTGCCTTTTCAGAACCTGAACAATTTCTCAATTTAGAATGAGTTTACTCAAGGAACAAAAATGGGCTTCTACACCTTTGGAAGAAGGAATTGCTGTTAAATGTTGGGCTATGATTTCAGTAGTCTGATGAATCCAGATGTTTTAAGTGACTTCTACCAGCTCAGTTACATAAATTCCAAAAACTTAACAGGCTATGAATGCTTTACCTTTAGCCCTGAACTTTGTTATAATGGCTATTTTGGAATGATGAGTATTAGCTGTCCAGCCCTTTATCAGAAGTTCATAGTAGAATCTCACACCTGTATTGGGATTATTTGCTAGGAAATAAGATACAGATATTTTGATCTGGTATGAACTTAACTGCAAAGCAAATTTTTTTCTCATATGGTGCAATGAAAAACTATAGCATGTTTTATAATATTTTTCAACTTTAGTGTATCTCAGAACTATATATATTTTCTTAAAACTACATTAAGAATGTGATTTAAATAGTTAGAAAGTATTCCCTCCAGATCTTTACCAGTAGTCATAAAAGGATTTGACTTATATGTTATGAAGGAGAATTTTCATTTGTTCTATGTTTCTTATTTACGTACTGATTAGCCACAGTAACGATTTTGAGCTTCATCTATAATGAGATATTACTAAACACCTACTAGAGTGGCCAAAATTAAAAAGACTGACCATACCAAGTATGGTGGGGATGGGAGGAGCTGGAACTCTAATATTCTGCTTGTGGGAACACAAAAAACGTACATCCACTTTGGGAAACATTTTGTCAGTACTTAAAAAGTTAAACATAAACCTACTATATGATCTAGCCATTCCAATCCTAGGTACTTACTCAAAAGAAATGAAAGCATGTGTCCACACAAAAACTTGTACATGGATGCTCTTATTCACCTGTAAAACTGGTGACAACACCACTTGTCCTATTTTACAAGGCATTGTGAGGTTCAAATGAATTGATATTTCAAAAACCGTAAGACCTAAATAGATGTAAAGTATAATAAGATATACCTTTCACATAATTTGCGATGGTTTCTTTTGTGTCCCTCTCTGGGTCAATGGTGATGAAAAGCGGAGTTAAATTTGGCAGAGATGGAATATCATCTGAAAGGAAGTTCCAGTTAGTCAGTATTCATACCTTAAGGGAAAAGACAAAGGAAATCAGCAATGACAGGAGAGTAAAGTAAGTGTGACAGCAAGGTTTTAAGGAAACACAGAGGGACATCTTAACACTCAGGTGCAGAGTACAGGGAAGGGGGCGGGATGGCTTCTAAGAAGAGCAGATCCATATACAGAAGTATTATCTGTGGTGGAATCAGATACATATCCTATCAAATACCAGTGCATAAATGTTGTTACCCCAGATCACTTCATGTGGCTATCTCATTTCCTAATTCAATCCAATGTTTGTAATTTTTTCCCTTCCCACCATATGTCAAGGGCAACGTAAACTATTAATAAGAACTGAATATCCTGAAACAATTCATTTTAAGAAGGAGGCATCCTTTCTTCTTATTGGTACTAATAAAATGCCACTGACTGCGGTACTATTCCACAGATTTCCTAGACTAACCACCACAGTCACTGGGAAGAGGCAACGGCAGTGTCAGTGATAAAGGGCTATGATACAGGAAAGGACATAAAAGCAGAGTTGAGTGAGACCCAGACCACACTGACATTTTTAAGTGATCTAACATTTAGCATCAAATTATATTTCCTGTGGTGGAGAATAAGGTCACAGGAATCAAAACAATAAATAAGCCAAGTGCCAAGAGCGTATGCTCTTGCAAACCAAGTAATTACAATATCCCACCTAACAGTAATAATACAAGAATGTGAAAAAGGTAGTAACATTAAGTAAACATACACTTTGTATAGTTAGTGATGGCTTTCTTACCTATTTCATCCACGACTTGAATCATTTTTTCTAGTTCTTCTGGACAGATATCAGGGCAATGAGTGAAACCAAAATAAATCAGTAACCACTGACCCAGGTAGTCCTTGTCAGTTTTAGGTTCTCCAGTATGAGTTGTGAGAGAAAATGGTCCCCCAAGTAAAGGCTTTCCGATGCTTCGCTGCCGTTCCTTTTCTAGCTCTTCAAGAGAGACAAACATACACACCAAAAAAAGATTCAGTCTAACCAGAGGTACACAGATGCCTGACACATGGTCAGTACTATATAATGACTATGGAGGCACAAAATGTGGAAAAATAGTTTCAGTTTTCAAGAAGCTCAAAAAGTCTTTTCAGAAAAATAAGCATAAAACAATAAAACAAAACCAAATTAAATGCTATGGTATGTAGTAAGCACTGTAAGAAAAGAGAGAAAAGGGAAAAGAGGTAAAAACATTTCTTTCTCTTTCAGAACAATTCAGTCCTAAGCCATGAAGTGTGGCCATGCTGGGGGTGGGGGTGGGGCCACGGTGGCCTAGAATAGAATGTCTGAACCCAGGTAGGCTGAGGTGGGCAGCCTGGCATGAGGAGCCCAAGCCTGAGCACGCTGAGGACAACAGCTGCATGGGGAGGGAGCAGTGGTGAGTGGCTTAGTTACATACAGGGAATTGATGAGATAAATACATTAAAGATAAGGTTACAAAAGGAAAGTCAACAATGGAGAAGGGGAAAACTAGAATGAATCCTGAAGTACTGCAATGACACTGGAGGTACTAGTGTGAGCTTACGGTTTCTATATAGAGAGATACAAAATAAATACAGATGTAAATACATACATCTATTTCCTATCTCTGTCCACTGAGAGGATCCAGGAGCAGACATACCCTAAGAGCAATGAGCCCACAACCTGACTTCTAAATACCATTCTCTACTAAAAAGAAACAGCTTTTTGGAGAAATGGCTAAATAAAGGGCTAGGGCAGAGAAAGTACAAGATAAGCCTGGAGCCTCTTGCAGCAGAAGGAAAGCAGAACTCAAAGAACATTGGATGTCAAAAAGACACTGAAGCTTGCTCGAAGGGGCTCCCACTGGTCAATGTGGAACAATTTTAACATCAAAATAAAGAGATTATGGATTAAAATTCAATGAATATATAGGAAACCATAAGTCCAAAGATATAAATAGTTTGATGAGGAATAGAATATGTAAATACACATCACAAAATACATATTAATTACACAAAGGAGTAACTTTTCAGTAGAAAAACCTATTAGACACACCAGCTTAATAAAGTGATCAAACTGAACATTATCAGTAATGAGCCAACTGATACTATGTGGTTCCTGACTAGATGCAATGAGAATACAACATCGCTCTTGTGATATTTCTGCCAAAGGTGCACAACTTTAATCTAATCACGGAGAACATCAAATGCAAACTAAGGGACATTCTACAAAATAACTGGCCTGTAACCTTTCATAGTTGTCAAGGTCATTCATGAAAGCCTGGGAAACAGTTACAAATTGAAGGAGACTAAAGAGACAATTAGGTACAAGCTGTGGTTTTGAACTGGATCCTTTTGCTATAAAGAACACCAAGTAGCAAAACTTGAAGACTGAACTGTATTTAAAACTTGACAACTGTCTAAAGATTAAAAAGTAGTAACATATCAACATTAATTTTCTGATTTTAATGGTTATGTTGTGGTTATGTTGGAGAACGTCCTTGTTTGTAGGAAATATACCATAAAGTATTCAGAGATGATGAGACTTCCTGTCAGCAAACACTCTTAAATTATTTAGTATCACTTCTAAGATTATTTCATAATTTTTTTTTTTAAGAGACAAGGTCTTGCTCTGTCATCCAGGCTGGAGTGCAGTAGCCCAGTTATAGCTCACTGCAGCCTCGAATTCCTGGGCTTACGAGATCCTCCTGAGCAGCTGGAACTACAGGTTCCAAACCTGGTTAATTTTTAAAATTTTTTTTAGAGATGGGGTCTTGCTATGTTGCCCAGGCTGGTCTAACTCCTGGCCTCAAGCAATCGTCCCACCCTGGACTCCCAAAGCGCTGGGATTACAGGTGTGAGCCACCATGCCTGGCCTCATAATAAAATTTTGTAATAAAACAAATGTTAACATTGCATTTGAAATTCCAAACTGAAGTCAAAGAAGCTTATATATTCTAGAATTTTCTCTGCCACTATTTTCTTAGTTTTCCAGTTTTATTTCTTTGTAAAACTAAAGGAACTTATTACTTATTGGAATATGAAAATCTTATCAATATTCTTGTTATGCCAATAACGTCATATATTTCAGTATGGAACTTATATTGCTAAGTTATATCCTAAAGCCTATAAATTCTCACTCCCAGCTTTAAACATTACCTTCTGTATAATGTCATCAAAGGAGACTCTAAAGTTTAGAAAAATTTAGGCAATACTTTAAAGATTTACCAAAAATTTCTCAACCAAATCTTAAAAGTCCTAGAATATTCACTAAAATATAAAGTTCTTATGAAAAATATAAAGTTCTTATGAAAATAAACGTTTCAAGATTCTAATTCAGAGCAGTTCCTGGCATTCTCTGACCAGGCTCTATCTTCCCCTCATCCATGGTCAGCCGCTGGCCTCTCCCTCTGCTGATACCCAGTGGTTTGCAGTATTCACTCACACTGTTCCCATGCCCGATCCCTAGGAAGTCTTCTCCAATCCTAAGATTGGGTCTTCCTTTGGCTCAAAGAGTATCCTAAGCTTCTCTCTGGCCTGGCAGAACCTTATCTAGTGAATCCTTTACGTCTGTGTCTTACCCTGTCATATGCACCTCAAGGGCTGGACTGCATCTCTGTCATCTTTGTACCCTCCAAACTTCACCTTGTCCACATGCAAATCTGTCCACAAAAGTCTTTTAGTATTGTTAGGCAGTGTATCCTAGGTTGCATCTTGGAACCGACACAAGACATTGATGGAAAAACAGGTGAAATCCAAATAAACTCTGTAGTTTAGTGCTAATTTTAATTTTTTAGTTCTGCTAAATGTGCAACAAAGTAGGAGTTAACATTAGGAGAAGCTGGGTGAAAGGTATATGAGAACTCTCTATGCCATCTTTGCAACTCTTCCATAAATTGAAAATTATTTCAAAATGAAAAGTTTAAGAACAAAAAACATGCTAGTACATAGCCAGGAAGGGCTTTATTCAGAGCTGACCAGATGATATCCACTTACTTTCCATCTTTTCTTTCTTGAAGTACTTCATTCCAGCCAATAAAGCTCCTCCAATAGCAAATGTGATTGCTAAAGACTTCCAGGTAACAGGCTACCGGGGCAGAGATTTCAAAAATAAAAATCCTAGTAAGATGCAAACATTCAACTATACTAAATTTATCATACTAGTTTTTAACATCTATATACACAGACAATGATCTTATTAAATGAGCAAAATGTTTCTGGGATGAGAAAACACTGAAAGTTTCTGTGGATGCATTAGTTCTGGGATCTGAATATAGACAATCACAAAAGCACTCATTTCCAGGGGAAAGTTCCTAAGTCAGTTTCTTTTCATGTGAAAAAACACCCAAAGAAGCTTATTTATTATTATAAATAAATAAATAAATAACGTGGAGAAGGTTAACCTAATTCTGGCTTTGAGAAGTAACAAACTCAAAGTAGAAGAGGCATCTAAAAGTGGAGCTTCTTGCAAATTACATCAATTATTTCTTTGTACTCTTGCAAATCCCCAAAAAGGAAGATGTTGGCCATCTAGGCCTAACTCATTAAACTTCCCCCAGCTTCGAAAACCCACTTCTCTTACTTATCATTAGAGGGGAGTGGCTCTTAAGTTCTTCTGGGGTCAGAACTAGAACTCAAGAGAAACCCAAGAAAAAGGCATATCCATATGTAACTAAAATCCACTTTTTGTTTCAATTTCAACGTATACACGGAATATCTGCAGGGGGTTCCAGTGCCAGGAATTATAAAGTGCTCTGACTTCGCAATCATTGTAAACTTGAGGTTCAGAAAACCTGAAGCTCACTTTATTTTTCTGGTGCAAAAGCTAACATAAAACCCAAGGCCGGGTATCTAATCACGTAGAGAGAGTGTAGGTTCTCAAGTTCTCTCCGGAAGACTGGGACTACCCGCAAAGCAGGGGAAGCGCAGGATGAGAGTCTATGACCCAGGTAAGCCCGCCGCACTGAAGGCAATTTTAGGCCAGGCCGAGTAGTTTCCGAGGTTATGACCAAGTGGGATGAGAAGGCCAGAGGGCTGGTTGATAGCCCCGACAAGCACTGGAAGAGCTCCAGGTATACACTCACCCCGGGCTTCGAGGGGTGCGTGGGATCTCTGTGGCCCTTCTGCTCCGGCCCCGACGACTCCGGGGGTGGTGGCATCGCCGTGCTGAGGGGCCGGCTTCCCAGGCACCTGCCAGCGAGCCCCACGGCCCGCCACACCTCCTCTTGCCGCGCGCAGAATTGCCTCAGCAAGACTCTCGCGGTTCCCTGGGCCGGGCCCCAGAGCCCGAGTCTACGAGGCAAGGGACGCCAAAGTTGGACACCCGGAAGCCGCATAATTCGGCCAGGCACTAGTAACTGGCCCGCCATGAGCTACGGAGACCGGGCCTCCTTTGACCCGCCCTGCGACTTCCGGTACTCTTCCGCTTCCTCCGGCAGTCAGGGGAGCCGCTCTTTCCGCTCCGCTCTATGGTGGTGCGGTTGCCTAGCGAGTAGTCAGGGAGCTCTTCGCTGAAGGGCTGGAGCGCGGTAGGTAGTCACTTGCGGCTGGAGGCGGGTCTGGCGCGGGCTGGGCCGGGGCTGCGCATTCGGGCGGGGTCGGGTGGGCAGCGCGCGGGGCTGAGGGTCTGCGGGGTCCTGGGGAGGAGGCCGCTTCGGAGGTGCAGGCTGCGCGGCTGGGCCGAGGCCGAGCAGCCCTGAGCGTTGGGGGCGCCCAGCTTTGATCGGGGGCTTCGGTGACCCGCAGCTAGCTCCTCGCCCCAGGGACACTTCCAGCTTGGACGAGAAAAATCACTGCCTAGAGACTGGAGCGACTGGGCAGCCCCCATCCCCATCTTGTCTGGTCGCCCTGGTCCCCCTAGTTCTCTCAGCTGGAGGCCCGCTCAGAGGAACTGCAAGTTTTTTGACCCCTTTGCAACCTTAAAGTAGAAGCACACCCATTATGCACTTGACTCTTTTTAAAAATGCTAATAGGATAATTTGAGTGGTTAGAGTGGCATGGAAGACATGAAGTATCCGGCGCTTCTAGTTATTCTAACAACCTAATTAATAAAGCATAGCAATGTAGAAGTAGTATATACTGCGTGATAGCCCATTCCTTTAAACTTAGTCTCCCTGGCTCCCAGTTGCTTAAAATACTTCCACTGACTCCCCTGCCCCCTTCATTTTAGTGATTGGAAGTTTGTTGATGGATTTCTCATCTGGAACTGCTTGTGTTACTTCAGCACATCCACATATTATTGAGGTGAAGAGCATTCATAGGCTTATTTTTCGTTCCTCGTGAAAGTTTAACTCGCATTCATTGTGTCTGCCTTTATTTATATTTCAATATCTGTAATCTTAACTCCCCTCTTCCTCCACCTCCGTGGTGGATTTGCAAAAACAATAAAAGGAAAAAAAATCGCCCCCTCTCTCTTGCTTAATTACAGGTCCCACTCTTGTGTGGCTTTTTTTCAAGGTGCTTCCACTGAGCAGAAGCAGCTCGTGCTCTAGTCATTGTTGGACTGGAGCATGGTTGGTTTTTGGTTTTGTTTTGTTTTTCCCTATAAGCTGGTAGTATAGTGTTTCTTGATTCTAGGTTGAGCTGGAATTTTCTGAAATTTCCACTCAGAGTTCTTCGGTGTTTGCTCAGCACTTCAAATCATTAATCAAACTAATTTTTCTATATTAAAGTTGCCTGTGGATAAGATTTTTACCCTTTTATTTTTGTGTATTTGTTTGTCCCAGGAGAAGTTTTTCCTGTAATTGACAAAAAGACATAAAAGTACCTTGCCTGTTGAGGCAATGAGCATGCAAAATTATTGTTTATTTCTTTAATTGCTCAATTATAGGTCAACTGATCAAGCACACATAAATTAAAATTGAATTCAGTATTTTCTGCTGATCTATTAAATTTGCCAAGCCGACTTTTAATAGCTTTACCCTTGTTTGTTTATTAAAGCATTTTATATAATTTCTTCATATTAAATTGATTATATTAAATAAAATGCTAGCATCTAAAACAGTTCCTGGCTTAAAGTAGGTGTTTTATAACTATATTTTGGAAGAATTGCTAATAATACCTCTGAGTCTGATTTCATGGACCTTTGAAACTTTAGTGCTAAAAGGTACCTAAAGAGTTTTAAGCCTTATCACTTTTATTACTATTAAACCACTGAGATCACCAAGTGGTTTTGTTTTCCTTCCCAATTTAGATACTTTTCTTGAGATAGACCATGGATTAATATCATGTGATAATTTGCTCTATCAATTGTAACTAGGCTGATCTCATTTGGCACTTGATAAAACTTTAGGCTGGTTTGACGAGGACATCGAGGCCCTAACTTTTTGTGAACTTGCCAGTACTATAATGTGTTTGCTTCATCTTAGGTCCAGACCCCCTGATTCCCGTGCCTACCCACAAACATTTCCTGCCTCAACTTTCCTGTTACTGCAGTATTTAACAAAGTCAGTTTTTAAGACACCCTCCCCACTTTCATCTTTCCATTGTCTTTGCATATAAAAGTTTTGCTCACCCACCCCTCCTGAGACATTTTGCTTAGTGTCTCAGGAAGGCTTTGAGCTTCTATTACAATCTTCTCTGTTAACAAATTCTCTCCTCATGTCAGGACTTTCCTGCAACAACCCCCCTCTTTTTTTTTTCATTGACACTAAAGCAAAGGAAACATTTTTCAGAATATCATCTTTCACAAGTTCATCATAGATGCTTGAGGGCTTTCTACAGGAACTTCAGCTTTCTGCCTGTCTTAAGTATTAGAGAAGGTTTATTAGTATTGAATTGTAGCAAGTTTTCAGCAATTAACCATCTCTGGGTTTTTCTTCCTATTCTTAAAAATCACTTAGGCCTAAGGTGGTTTTCACAAAATACAGGCTGCTTATCCTGTACCATGATTTTCTGTAGGAATTTTGAGAGAAAATCTTGTAAAGTTTTCTTTTTTTTTTTTTGCTTTTTAGAGATAGGGTCTTACTTTGTTGCCCAGGCTGGAGTGCAGTGGCATGATCATAGCTCACTGTAACCACTCACTGTAACCTCCACTTCCTGGGCTTAAGCAATCTTCCTGCCTTAGCCTCTTGAGTAGCTTGGTCTACAGTCACCACACCCAGCTAATTTATTTTATTTTTTTGTAGAGACAGGGTCTCCTTATGTTATCCAGATTGGTCTTGAATCCCTGGCCTCAAGCATTTCTCCTGTCTCGGCTTCTCAAAGTGCTGGGATTATAGGTGTGAGCCATCATGCCCGGCCAACTTTATTTCTGTAACTAATTTCAAATCAAAGAATCTTTGAACCTACCTATAAGCTGTAAGCCTCTTTAAGATTTCCTGCCTTTTCAGGCCAAACCAATGTATACTTTCCATGTATTGATTTATGATTTTACCTGTAGTTCCTGTCTCCCTAAATTGTATAAAAGCACACTGTAACCCAACTGCCTTGGGACCACTTGCTCAACACTTCTTGGGCGTTTCTCCCCAGGCAATGGTTACACATATTTCACTCAGAATAACTTTCTTTTATAATAATTCTGTAAATTATTTTACAGAGTTTGGGTTTTTTTTTTTTTCCAATAACAACTAAAAATTTGCCATTCTCTTTTCTATTCAAAAACAAAATATTTCCTTGAGTCTTCTACATTTTCCAGATTCTATTTTCTGTAAATTTTAGGAGATTTTTAAATAAAATTTGTATTAGAGACACTTTTAAATATGTATAAAAGTAGTGAATAAATCTCATGTACTCATCGCTAACTTCACAATTTATTATCCTCTACACATGCATTTTTGTGTGTATGTATTTGGTAGAGGAGGGAGTATTCTGAAAAAGTTCTGTGACATTAGAATGTATGTTAATTCTGTTTCTTCACTGTAGGTGACTTTGAGTTTTTGATCTCTCTACTCACCAGGACCAGTCTTTCTGAGCTCCCTGACATCTCCCTGAACCATAAAATGAAAGGCTAAACTAGATAGGAGATTCAATTCCCTGCCTACTTGGTTCTTTTTGCCCTGCCTTACTCACTTCTGACCCTGATTGTCTACCTGAGTATGTTTCTGAAAACCGAAATGCTCCAAAATCTGAAACTTGAGTGCTGACATGACATGCAAAAGGAAATGCTCATTGGAGTGTTTTGGATTTTTTGATTTTCAGATTAAGGATGCACAACTGGTAAATGTATTCCAAATCTGAAAAAAGTTGAAGTCCAAAACTCTTCTGGTTGTAAGCATCTTGGATAAAGAATACTCAGCCTGTACAAATTTAAGTTTCTGTTTTTCAAAATAATTTCTTTGTTTAATAAAATTGTAAGTTACCTTCCTATCTCTAACCTTGTTTTTAAAAGCTTATCTAGTCAACATTTTGGATCTCTTTTCTACCCCAGAACACAATGCTATTTTAAAGTGTGTGCCCTTTAGTATTTCTCTCCACATTGCTTAACTTTGTTTAAAAGGTTGCTAAATCTTAATATAGCTTTGAGTTTCCCTAAACTGAATGGCGTTCCAGTGGAAGGTGTATTTGACAGGATTTTGGTATCAAATGACAGAAAATCAATTGGATTTGGCTTTAAACTCAAAGGGGATTTTATTGGCTGATATATATAACTAAATGACCAAGAGTAGTTCTAGCCTGGACAGATGGATGCAGGTATTCAACTAATATTTTCAGGAATCTACTTCCCATCATTCAGATTTGCTTCCTTCTGTGTTGGATTTCTTCTCAGTTAACTTTTCTCTGAAAACTCTAGTCTTAGTTTATCAGTTTAGCAGAAGTAGTGGCAGTACTTTTGCTAATAGTTCCAGCAAATGTCCCAGGGCTGATGCCGATCGACTTAGCTTGAGTTATTTGCCTACCCCTAACTGGCCAGAGGAAAACTGGGCTTTTATAGACCAGGCCTGGGTCATGTGTCTGCCATTCCACTTCCCTAGCCAGGGGTGGAGGTGACACAGGAACTGAGAAAGGGGAACTTGATAGATGCCTGAAGGAAAATTAGAGTGCTATTATTAATACATCAAGAACAGGAAATGAATGCTAGGTAGGCAAAAATAACAGCTGTCTACTGGAGAGAAGATCAAATTAATTAGGAGTAAATCTCCTCAAGGAGATCCGTAACACATATCACAATAAAGTCTCTGAGTTTAAAGATAAAAACAAACAAGTTCATTTGGCAGGGGATAAGAGCATACCCAGAAACAGTTTTCTCTTAAGCTTTGGTAATGTTTATGTGATATACTTGCTGAATTATCTTCTGATTTGATTCTCCTTTTAATCCTGAACTTGGAATCGCAAATATTTGAAACTTAACAAGGCTAGAGATTTTTAGCCAACTTAGATGGGTTTTGTATTTCTTGTAATTGTATCAGAGTTCACCTTTCAAATCATATTATCTCTCATTGATATACCCCACTTATATATTTACTGACTTGATATCTAGTGAGGTTTTCAGTTAGGGACTGTAGGAAGAAATGAGCAAACAAAAAATAAAAATAGCATGAGAACACCAAACCGTTTTGAAAGATTTCCATCTCTTTTTTTCTGGTGTTTTACGTATTTTAGGGCTAGTTATGCCTAACCAGATTAAGGAAGAAAGGAAAGTAGCTGAAGCTCATAATTGGGTGAATTAGACAGAGAGTGTATCATTAGTGACAATTATTTTGGAATGAAAAGAAGCCCTTAACTCTCAAATAAGTCAAATTGAAGTCTGATCCTTATTCCAACTGTGAAGCTGTCGCCTCCATCTCTGATACAAGCGCTGTTACAATAGGGATCTCACATGTCTGTAGAGGATTAAACAGAGACTCTATAGGTGTATTTGGCAAATGACTGGAGACTAGGAATCTGAAAGTAATTTTAGAAAGATGAATCTTTAGGTTTTAATAAATTCAGACACCACAGCAACAGTTTATTACTGTAGTCTTTACAACAAAAATAGTTGATAATTGAGGATCTTGGTCTTTGATTTTTGTTTCAATCATTAGTGTTCTTGGCTCTTTTAAGAGATTATAATTTAGATTTTAAACAATCTAATAATTGTTTTTTCAAGTTTAAATCTCTTGTTCTTTTTGGCCACTGAGGCAGGGCAGAAATCATATGTGAGAAAAAAAGATTTCATATTTTCTGTTTTGATTATGGGGGTAGGTTAATATTCAGAATTAAAAACCTGGTTCAAATTAGAATCCAGCTGTTGAAGAACCAGGAACCACTGCTCACAGAAATGATAATAGTCACATCAATGTCATAGTTGTTGTAGTGGATTGTTTTTTTTGGTTTAAGATTATTTCTCTCCTTTCATATCTTTACTGCCCCAAATCCCCTATTACTTCAGATATAAAATAGGAGAAACTAACTTCAAGTGACCTACCCACTAATGATGAGAAAAGAGTCGGTCTGACATGAAATAACCCATAATGGGACCCTTTTATAAAGTACTTAAAATAAATGAGTATAATATACAAACAACTTTTCAAAAAAAACTTGAAGTTTTGATAGAATTATTTGATGTTTATGGGAGGGTGTGTGTGTATGTGTATGTGTTTTAAAATGAATATTTCTCAAAAATTAGAATTATTCCAGATTTGAATTTGGCTTTACTAGAATTAGAATGCCTTTTCATTGATAGGATAGTACCCTTTTGTAAATTGTTACTATTCCGAAGGGTAGAGGTTATCATCTATTTTTTACAGAAGAGAAAACTGAAGCGTTTTAGAGGTTTAGTAATTTAGACTGAAGAGCATTGGACTCCAAAGCCCACGTCCTTTTTCCAATATCAAGTTGCCTAGTAAATTAACCATTAAGTTTAATATTCATTTTACTGTTATCTTCAAATTAGGAAATAAAGATGTTTATAACTTAGTTATCTTTTTACTTTGTTTAGTTTATTTAGAGACCTGTTTGGAGGTTATGGATGATAAGCCCAATCCTGAAACCCTAAGTGAGAGTTCAGAGCGTCTCTTCTCCTTTGGAGTTATTGCAGATATTCAATATGCTGATTTAGAAGATGGCTATAATTTCCATGGAAACAGGCGGCGATACTACAGACACAGTCTTCTTCACTTACAGGGGGCCATTGAAGACTGGAATAATGAAAGCAGCACACTCTGTTGTGTCCTTCAGCTTGGAGATGTCATTGATGGGTATAATGCACAGTATAAAACATCAGAAGAGTCCCTAGAACTTGTTATGAACACATTCAAGAAGCTTAAAGTTCCAGTTCACCATACATGGGGAAATCATGAGTTCTATAACTTCAGTAGAAACTCTTTAACAAACTCTAAACTTAACACAAAGTTCCTAGAAGACCAGATTGTACATCATCCTGAGACTATGCCTTCAGAGAATTACTATGCTTACCATTTTGTACCATTCCCTAAATTCCGGTTTATTTTACTCGATGCTTATGACTTGAGTGTCTTGGGCATGGATGAGTCTTCTCCAAAATATCAGCAATGTATGAAGATACTGAGGGAGCACAATCCAAATACGGAACTGAATAGTCCTCAAGGTGAATTATTCCTTTGAGCTGAGAATCTAATACATTGTCTTTAAATTCTTCAGCTACCTTTTATTCAGCAGGAAGATGGACAATTAAGGTAAAAGTATCTTGTCACTGTTGTTCAGGGTCAGGATTTCTCACAAGCCTGATCTCACATGGATTGGTTACTGTTGATTCAAGATTGATTTACTTAACAGATATTTGAATGCCAATTCTAGGCCAGGCAATTTTTCTAGGGAGAACTATTCAGAGCTGTAAACAATACTGACAATATCACTTTTCTTATGGGTGGAATGGAGGGAACAAAAGCAGTAGGTGGGCAGGGCAGGTGATAAATGAAACAGAAACAAGATTATTTCCACAGTGATAAGTGCTACCAAGAAAATAGAGTACGATGTTATAGAAAAGGACTAGGGGTACTGTTTTACATTGGGTGATCAGAGAAAGCCTCTCTAAGGAGAAAAACATCTAAGCCTAGACTTAAATGACAAGAAGGAGTCATTCTTGGAAAGAAGGAGGTGACAGAGGGAAAAGACAGAAGGAAAAGCAAACGCAAAGGCATGAAGTGGAATAAGACTTTGGCATCACTGAAGAACAGAGAAAAGGGCCACGGGGTACAAGATGATTTTGGAGAGTAAATAGGAAAGACTACACAGTGGCTCGGGGGCCGTAGTAAGGAGTCTATATTTTGTTTTCAATGTAGAGGCAAGCCAGTGAAGTAAGCAGGGAATGTCAAGACTAGGAGTGAGGTGTGATGTGGTTTATTTACATGTTGCTCTGACTTCTTGAGATTTCCTTTTTTAAGTTGATTGCTGCTGATCAAATATTCCTAAAGAAAAGAACAAGTATACCTGCATTAGCTAAATTTGAATGCCCAGAGGAGGGGAAAAATGATACTTGGTGGGTCTAACTTACTTGAATTTATTTCAGGACTTTCTGAGCCCCAGTTTGTCCAGTTTAATGGAGGATTCAGTCAAGAACAGCTGAACTGGTTGAATGAAGTTCTTACATTCTCTGACACAAACCAAGAAAAGGTGGTGATCGTGAGTAAGTATTTATATTGTCTATCTGATTACACTAGCATTTTAGAGATTGGGAAAAGTTAAACTTTAAAATATACTAACAATATTTATGTTTTGATATCCTTTTTCTATAAAATGGGTGCTTAGTTTAAAAATTTTTATTGAGAAAGAACCTGCATATAAAATTAATATTTAAGGATGAATCAGGAAAGAATTATAAAATAAAAAAAATCTTGCCCTGTATTAGAACCTATGAGTTGGCCTTTTGGGTTTCAAAGTAGAATGGGATCCCAAATGGGATCAATTTATGAGGTTAATTTTATTTTTAATTTTTTTCTTAGAGACAGGGTCTCTCTGTTATGAACTCCTGGGCTCAAGCAATCCTCCTGCCTCAGCCTCCCCAGTAGCCAGGGCTACAGGTGCGTGCCACCATGCCCGGCTATTTATTTTTATTTTTTGTAGAGATGGGGGTCTCATTGTGTTGCCCGGGTGAGCCTCAAGTGATCCTCCTACCTTGGCCTCCCAAAGTGCTAGGATTGCAGGTATGAGCCACCCTGACCAGTAATTTTAACTGAGAAATTCAGTTCAGGCCCCCCACCAAATCTCAGCCTGACAAGACCTGCCTATTATCGAAGTGGCCACCAAACAGAGGCCACTACTGCCTCGATGAAACAAAGCTGATATAATGGGGATCCATGTTACAGACTCCACTGGCAGTGAGCACTTTCAGTTCTCTGTGTCTACTGCCTGGTCACAAGGAAGTGAGATGTATATTATTTTCATTTAGAATCATTTTCAACAGACACACTGCCATCAGCAATTGTGGGGCTCTGGAGGTGCTTAAAACACACTCACATGTACACATGTGCACGTGTGTGTGTGAGTGCATGCAGGCACACACGAAGAACCGAATTTGGATTTGCAACATGGCTGGTGGACTTGTTTTGGGGGCTGAGATTAGAGCCCTTATTTTAGAATTAGAATCAATATGGGATAATAGGTGAGAACACTGGACTGAGAGCCAGAGGATCGGGTGCCATTCTGGCTATTGTTTATATGAACCGTGTAGCCCTGGACAAATATCGAACATACAGACCGCAGTGTTCTCAGCAGTGCCCCAAATGAAACTATGAATATGAAAACCCTTTGGAAATGATAAGCTATTTGGATAGTTGATAGTATAAAACTATATTTCAATCTGTAAATGTAGTTTTTACTTATTAGTCTTACACTAATGTGGTAAAAACATGCAGCTAGAGGAGGAGTACTTCTGCTACTGTTGGAATATCAAGTGTCATTTAAGACTTAGAAAAGATAAAGTACCCTCAGGGACTATTGGGACGATGTGACACCGTTTGGCTCTGTAATCAGTGGTCTCAAACTAGGATACTTCTTGACTTGTGTCTGCTTCTTAGTTTTCCACTGCTAGGCTGTACCTGTTACTTTTTAGAAGCACTGGAGCTGAAAGGGACCTAGAGATCATATAGCCAAACCCTTTAATTGTAAAGATAAAGAAACTGAAGCTTAAAATGATTAAATTACATAGCAAAATCATACAGCAACTGACAGAACTGAGACTAGAATCCATGTTTTATATCCTAGTCCCTTTTCCCACTCTATCCTGTATCCTTCCCTTTTCTTTTTGCTGATGGCAGTATACATATCTACTTAACAGTCTCTTCAGTTTCTTCCATCATTTGCCATAAGCTTAGAAACTGGATACGCAAACCTTTAACAATAGAATGTCTCAGGTTTTCTTTAGTAAAGTTTAAAAGTTAAATTTCCCTTTGGCTTTGTTTGCTTTTTAACTTTCATTGTGGCTACTCGGAAGTCATTTTGGCTACTTTTTGAGTTTTGGCCATGCAGTTGGAATGATATTAGCTGGGATGGGGAACACAGCAGGGTGAGGGGGTTTGAGTGGGAAGGGCAGGGGCACAGGGGTTTGGAAATAGTAAGTTTCAGATGCCTCTTAGACATCAGTGGGGATGTTGAGTGGGCAATGTGGACATACAAGTTGGAGATTCAGAATAGATTTTGGCTAGATATATAAATATGGAAGTGGGAAGAATATAGATGATATTTAAAGCATGTAAATCACTAAGAGATCACCAAGACATTAGGTGTAGATACAGAAGTGCGAGAACCAAGCATTTAGGCACTCCTGATAAAATGCTTGGGAAATGAGGAGGAACCAGCAAAGGAGATTGGAAGTTTGTGGCTGTTAAGTTTGGGGAAAAACTAGGAAGACACCATTAGGAAAACTAGTGGTGTCTGGAAGCCAAGTGTTTCAAGAAGGGGGCAACTAACTGTGTCAGAAGCTGCAGGGACTTGATAGATGAGTCAATGTGGCTTCCACGTACTATTACTAGACAGCTACACGGCCCCTTTGGACTCTCGGCCCTGAGAGTGGTAATTAGTGTGTTTGCACATGTGCGCACGCATGTGCATATGCATTCCTTTCCTGCTTTAGGGATCTGTTAACCTCTCCCAACCCCTCTCTGCTTTTTTTTCTTTTAATTTGTATTGCAAACAAATAGATATTAAACAGAAGCATGTTTAAATTTCAGAATAAAAATGAACAGTAACAGGAAAAAAAAAGTAATTTTATAGGAAGAAGCAGAGACCAGTGAGCTATGGTACCCGTACTTTAAAATGAAAACTGTGGCTTGATATATGGTATGGACTTATAAATGTGTTGCCATTGGGAATTAGAAATTTTCTTGGCTCTACTTCCGCGCGTCTCCCGTGGGACCCTGGTATAAATCTTCCCTGCTTTAACTCAGTTTTCTCATCTGTGAAGTGGGTATGGCTAACTTGATCTCATGGGGGCATTTACAGTCCCATGAATAAATTCAAATGCCGTGGTCCCAACCTTTTTGGCAGGGGAGGTGGAGCTCAGGCAGTGATGCAAGGGATAGGGAGCCACCGTAAATACAGATGAAACTTCACTCACTCACCCACCACTCACTCAACGGTCCACAGCTCACCCACCAGTCCATAGCCCAGGGATTGGGGGCTGCAGTTCTAAGGCATTGAGTGTTTCTATAAATGACACATAATCCATGGCCCATCCATAAGCTGTTCTTTTATTTAGTATTATATCTTTATATGTATGTATCATTCATACTTAAGGCATTCAACGAGATTGGATTTCAGCCCAGCACCTGCCTGATTTCTGGATGCCTTTGCAGACTGCCCTGAATAGGCTATCCTCGGTCTTCTTCAGTGTTTGGGCAGCTTGAGACTACGTAGGCCTCAGAGATCTTAGGGTTTTGCCTCTACAGGAGCCTCTCCCACCTGATGTGAACCGTCCCACCCTTCTTTCTATGCTCCAGAGACTTGGCTATAGAGATGATCTAGTTCTTCCTATACGTGGGTTCTCTCTGTTTTAGTCAATTTGGATAATGAGGTAGCAATGCACAATTTTTTTTTTCTGAGTACTAGCTTTAGCCATTTGTTTTGATGAAAGAGATATTTCTTAATAGGCTCATAACTCTTCTTTTCTTTAACAGGCCATCTTCCCATTTACCCAGAGTCCTCCGACAGCGTGTGCCTGGCCTGGAACTACAGGGACGCCCTGGCAGTCATTTGGTCCCATGAGTGTGTGGTGTGTTTCTTTGCTGGTCACACTCATGATGGTGGCTACTCTGAAGATCCTTTTGGTATACACCATGTCAGTCTAGAAGGAATTATTGAAACAGCTCCAGACAGCCAAGCGTTCGGCACAGTTCATGTCTATCCTGACAAAATGATGTTGGAAGGGAGAGGCAGAGTTCCAGACAGAATTATGAATTATAAGAAGGAAAAAGGATTCCATTTTTAGTCTGATGTATTTTAGTCTGATCTCACAAAGAGAAATGAGCTTTTTGTTTGCCCCCCCAAAACAAAAACAAAAATAAAAATCCTCAATCTCATTGGTTATTATTCTGCTTGTATAACAAAATATATTTATTAGTTCAATGTGCTTTAGTTGATAAAATATTCAGAACTGCCATTTTGGATAACTTATCCAGTATAAGTTAGAAACAAATCAGGGAAGAGAATGAAGAAGGGGCATATAGTCTTCATAAAAGATTTTTTTGTCCTTAACCTGAAATTTTTTAACTTTTTATAAGAATGTGTTCATGTGTTAACTGTGTAACTTAAAATTCATAATTAAAAAAAAAATTATGGTAAACTTTTCTGTTCACACTGCTGTGTAAATGAGCTTTAGACAATTTTCAGTCAGAATACCTATGCTTAGACTTTTATAGGCTTGTAGTTCCATTTTGTAAACAAAAAAAACACCAATAGTTATTTCACAGGTGAACGTGTAGCACTCCACCTCTGTAAGAAAGGCCTCCAGAGAAGTCACCTGGTCCTCCTGTCATTCTCACCAAAGCCAGGACCAAATGCCAGTGCAGCTGTGTGCCTGCTAGCTTGGTCTGTGTGGGCCACCAGCCAGTGCCGCATGAGACTACAGCAGGCAAATGGATTTATGCTTGACTTTCTTATAGACAAATGGGACATACTTAACTCTGTTGTCATATATGCAAGGCTTATTTACACAAACACTGGATGGCAAATGGGGACTGTTCAAGTGTAAAGAAAGTTTTATTTTGGGCCTAAAACAATAAGAGAAATATTAGCATGAGTGTGCCTGTTCAGTACCTAGCTACTATGAAGATATAAAGGTGTATGAGTTTTCTATGGCTGCTGTAACAAATTACCACAAACTTGGTGGCTTAAAACAACACGTAATTGTTTTCTTACAGTTCTGGAGATCAGAAGTCTGAAATCATTTTCTCTGGGCTAAAACCAAGGTGTGGGCATGGCCACGCTCTCTCAGGAGGCTCCAGGAGGAATTCCTTGCCTTGCCTTTTCCAGCCTCTGGAGCTGCATTTCTTGCATTCCTTGGCTCATCTCATGGCCCTTCCTCCATCTTGAAAGCCAGCAGCGTAGCATCTTCAAGTCTCTGCTTTGTTGTCTTAGCACTTTCTCTGCCATCTGTGTAGTCAGATCTCCCTTGGCCTCTCTCATAGGGATGCTTGTGATTACATTTAGGGCCCACCCAGAGAGTCCAGGTAATCCCCATCTCAGGATTCTCAATCATGCCTGTAAAATCCATTTGTGATATAAGGTAATATGGGTTCCAGGGATTAGGACCTGGGTATCTCTGAGGACCATTACTCAGTCACAGGGGTGAGTGTGGTGTGCTCCTGCATTCACACACCTTACAGTGAATGAGAGAGACAGCTCCACAGACACAGATGTGTGAAATTTGCTGTCATACAAAGAAAGGACTAAGAGGGACCATGGAGGTGGAACTTAATTTTGTTTGAAGTGACCAGGGATGACATGAAAAAGGAAGAAAAATGGTTTGAATAAGTGGAGAAGAGTATTTCAAGTAGACTAGCATAAGCAGAGGCATCAAAGGATATGCTGAATTTAGAAGTGGCAGGTCATGCTATGAGGATTCGTCAAAAGGCGCTTGAAGTATGGCAAGAAATCAAGCAGGAAAGGGTCGGCTAGAGCTATGTTGTGAAGAGCCTCAAATGATGAGCCAAGAGTTAGAATTTAATGTGGCCAGTGAGGAGCCCTCGGGTTGCTGAGCTGGGGAACAAACACATGATTAGATTTGAGTGGCAGGCTAGGCAGTAAGGTCAGGCTGAGGTAGAAGAGGACCAATGGGAAGGAAAACAATTGTGGGGTTTTGATAATAGAAATACTAAAATTATTAATACTTAAATTCAATTGAAAAAAGATTTCATGAATAAAGACTCTTGAAAAGACAGTACTCCACTAAAAGTGCCTTTTACATGCTTTGGAGATGCAAAAGGGCCTATAAACATTCACAGAATTTGTAGATAAGATGCAAGTGCATCTTGAACATTACTATCTTTTAAGCACAGAGGCAAGCATGACTTGGAGGATGGGTAGGGCCTATATAGAATTTGCAAATGAGTCTGTTTCTTTGCGTGTGACTTTAGTAGTTAATATTAAAGAAGGCATAAAAGCCACAAATATCATGTAAGCTAAATGTATATTGGAAAACTCAAATCCTTTACATGTATTTTATTGACCCTTAAAATAAATTTCACTTTATTTTAATATTAACTAGATTTTTTTTCCCTTTTTCCTCATCCAAATCTTAATATCAGAGAATTTCTCACTGTTCAGGGGAAACAAAAACAAGACAAAACACACATACCTCCTTTAACAAGTATTCATAGAATACTTACTATTGTAATAAAGGGAATACAAATAAAGAGAAAAACTACCAGTCTCATTTTCACTCTCCTGACATGTGGAAGGTACGAATTCTTTTTGAGTGAAGTATTTCCTAGATCTCATAAAACAATATACTGACTACAGAGTTTGATGCTAGCATGTGTAAAACAGTTGCCATCCAGATGCTCTAGAAAGGACTGTCCAACAAATGCAAGGTGAGCCGGACAAATAATTTAAAATATTCTAGCAGTCACATTTTAAAAAGTAAATAGAAACAGACAAAATCAATTTTAATAGTATATTTTATTTAACCCAATATATCTAAAATATTTCAACATGTAATCAGTATAAAATATTTTATATTCTTTCTGTACTGTATCTTTAAAATCTAGTGTGCATTTGACACTTATAGCCCACTCATTTGGACACTGAATTTTCACTGGGAATACTTGATCTGTGTTTAGATACAAAATTTTCAGTTGAAAACGTAGACTCACAGGCCCAAGATGTTCCACATACACGTAAATGTTTTCTAATAATCGAATATCAGTTTTTAAAATGAAAATGAAAAAAATTGAAATTTACTTTGTGAGTCACTCTAGCTAATTGCAAGTGCTCAGTAGCAACACGTGGCTAGTGGCAACTACGCTGGGGAGTGCAGCTCTAAAAGCTCTCCTCGGCATTCCTTCGGACATCCATTTAAAAAGACTGTGTACAGATTTTGGCCTTATTTCTCATTTAGAATGTAATTAATAGTCCCTGTTTCCTTCCTCGTTGGTCTCAAATGCCTTTATTCAACTTCCGTTTCTCTTTAAGACATGCCTTTTCCTTTGGTTCATGGAGAGTTCTCATTTGGTTCATTGCTTTGTGCCAGGTCAGGAACTACTGAGATTAGTTCCAGGCTATGGCCCTCTCTTGAACCCCTATTCTGTTGTATTACCCAAACCCTCCTCCCCTCTCTTTTAATCATGTGCAGCCCTTTGTAAACTTTGCATTACAAAGGGCTTTATATTTTCAGAATGCTCTTGTATTATCTGGTATGATCTTTGCAACTGTATAAGTAGGAGATCTGGTATTAATCCTATTTTATGAATAAGAAAATATCCACAAGTGGTTTATATATTTCCCCAAGTCACAGAGATGAAGTTGAACAGAACTCCTATTTTTTAAACTTTTGTTCTATGCCTTTTCCACTAAAGTATGAGACAATACCCTACAGAAAGACTTCCAGAAACTGTGAGACCCCGGGTCTTACTAGTTCCATCCAATCTAGCATTGAATTGTAGGCAGCCTTAAAAAGTTCTTAGGATTAAAAAAAAAAAAAATCTCTATTATTAGCCCAGATGAGCTGAGATAAACTCCTGTGAAACTGGCTAGTTACCCCAATTTTTTAAAAAATTGACTGAAAATATTTTAAAAACAGGAATTCTGAAGTCATTTAAATTACTGTCTTGCAGTGAGTTGGCCAGGAGGACCGCATTTCCTTGTTTATGTATATGTAGACCCATGAGATAAATGGGAAAAGAGCGATTACAATGGCAATAGCCAACTGAATTCTTCCACCAACTGGATTCCTATAAAGACACACAAAAATTATTATAAATAAAAATCCAATAAAAATTATGGATTGCTTTGGAAACAACTATAAAGATCGAATTGGTAAAACACATCATTATGTTTTAGTTTGCTCTCTTCTCAACTGTTTTATTGAATTAACTCACTGATTTGTAGAAATTCTTTATATATATTCTTAATAAAAATCCTTGTTTACATATGTTGCAAATATCTTGTCCCACTCAATGATGTCTTTTGAGGAACAGAAATTGTGATTAGACAATGTTAAAATTGATCTTTTCCTAATGATTTTGTGTTCTGTTTAAGAAAACTATTCCTCACCAAGGTCTTGAAGATATTAAGTTACCTTCTCCAGAAGATTTATTGTTTTGCTTTTTTATGTTAGATCTATTACACATCTAGAATTTATTTTTATGAAAATTGTGAGGTAGGGGTTGTTTCACTTTTTTCCCACATGAATCCTTAATTGATCCAGTCCTCTCTGTTGAAGAGACTGCCTTTCTTTGCTACCCTGCAGGGCCACCTTTGTCATAAGTCAAAGGTCTACATACGTATAGATCTGTTTCTATTACAGATTCTATTCTGTTCCACTAGTTTCTTTATTTATCCTTTTGCCAGTATAGATTTAGCCCTCTGATTATTCAGGTCTTCTTTAATCTCTCCTATGATGTTTTATGGTTTTGTGTGTAGAGATTTTGCCTATCTCTACTAGGTTTATTCCTGGGGAGATGATTTTTTTTGATGTTATTATAAATGGTAACTTTGTTTTTTTATCACTTTCTGTTACTTGCTGATAGAAATTCAGTTGATTTTTGTGTCTTTTTTTCCTACATATGTAATTATGTCACCTACGAATAATGAAAATTTTATTTCTTCCCTGGGCCTTTTTTTTTTTTTTTAAAGACAGAGTCTTGCTCTGTCATCCAGGCTGGAGTGCAATGGCACGATCACAGCTCACTGCAACTCCAAAAGCCTTGGCTCAAGCAATCTTCTCACCTCAGCCTCCTGAGTAGCTGGGACTACAGGTGTGCAACACCACACCTGGCTAATTTTTTTTTTTTGTAGAGACAGGGTCTCACTATATTACCTAGGCTGGTCTAGAACTCCTGACCTCAAGCAGTCCTCCCTCCTCAGCC